ATAATAATCATAATAATGTGATGAAACTAATTAATAATGCGAATGTAAATTACACTTAAGTAATCTATCTGATCCATCAAAAGTAGAAGGAACAGCATCTATATCTTTAAATGATACTTAATTTGAAATATAAGTTTCTTACTAAAATATGGATAAAGATGTTAAAACTGCTCTTTAAAAAAATAATGAAGTTGTCAAAAAAGTATTAGATATTTATAAAAAAGATGAAGAATTAAGTGTTTCTTCTAGTGGCTTTACTATTGATTCTTCTAGTTATATTGATTAAATCAATGAAGACACTAAAAAAAATGAAAGAGTTTTTGAAGGATATAAAGTTAGTAATTCGATTTTAATAAAATCTTCTAATTCATAAAAGGCTGGAAAAGTGATTGATGATGCTATTAATAATGAATTTAATTCTGTTGATTTTGTTAGATTTTCTCCTGATGAAAAATAAATAGAATTGGCTAGAGAACAATTACTAAGCGAAGCAGTTAAGGATGCCAAAAAAAAAGCAGATTTACTTTTAGAAAATCTAAAACAAGAAGTTATCGGTGTAAAAAAAATTTATTCTATTTACGAAGATATAAATGACCCTAATGATAATAATTTGTAATATTATGCCAGTGGTGCTAGTGCCAGAAGTAGTCAAGGTGGAAATAAGACAGAATTAAATTAATCTTAAAAAACTATGACTATTTAAATTAGAGTTTAATTTATTACTTAATAAATATAATGAGATTTAATATAAGGAAAAATTTAATTATAATTTTTTTATAAAAAAAATCTTGATTTTTTTTATATAAAATAGTTATTTTTATATTTATTTAAAATGTAGTTTTTTTATTTTTAATTATTTAATACATTAAGTTATCATTAGATATATTATTTTTATATATTTTTTATATAAGTATATAAAATTTGTTATTTTATAATGAATTGTATTTTATATTACATATTATGTTTTTAATGTAAAAGTAATAGTAATTTAAAGACTTTAAAATTTAAATAATATAAAATTTTGATTTATATAAATAATATGTAAATAATATTAAAGAAATAAAAAATTTTATCATATAGTATTATAATTAAATAATATAAAATGTTATTATTTTAGATTTATTTTAATTTGTAAAAAAAAAAATATTTTATAATCTATTTAAACATATTTATATTTATATTTATATTTATATTTATATTTATTTATATTTATATATTTATATTTATATTTATATTATATTGATAATTATCAATTAATAATTTTTATATTTAACTTTATAATTTAAAAAAAAATATAATAAAATTTCAATACTTAAAAATTTTACATTCTTTTTTAATTGTAAATGTTTTTACTCCTGAAAAAGTAAAAATATTACTTCCTATATTAAGTTTATTAAATACGAAACATAATAAAAATTTAAATACAACTATTTATTTAATAGTAAAATAATATGAATAAAAAAAAATAAAAATTAAATTAAATTAAGATTATAATCTATTAATTAAAAGATATTTGTAGATTTTGATAAAAATTAAAAATTTATATATAATTTTAAATAAGATAATTATTATTATACATATTTAATTTAGGAACTCTGTTTTTTTGATTATAAAAATTATTAAATCATTCATTAAAAAGTAATTATTAAATAAACATTCTATTTTAAATAAATGAGATGAAACTGTGAAAATATAATATTACATTCTTTTTATTTTTACTCATTTAAAAAATAAATAAAATATTAAAAATTTACGCATTCCTATAATTAATTTAGTAATTTATTTATTAAAATGTTTACACACTAAATATTTTAATAAATCTAATTAATAAAAATATAATTTTAACAATTACATTCTATTTTTTTGTTTAATTTATTTAGAGGAGATGCTTACGTTGCTCTTTATTATTACGAATATATATTTATTTAAATTAGTAGACATATAATGAGTTTACTTTCTATTTTTAATTTTTTAATAAAATCTTAATATTATTTTACAAACTATTTAAAAATAAAATAATTTAACTTAAAAAATAAAAAAAATATTACAGGCTATTTTAATTTCACATCGTATTATAAATTATAATTTTTTTTATAACTTTAATTTCCTTAAAATAAATAATTTAAATTAATAAAACAATATAAATAATTTATATTCTTTTAAAATTTAAAATTTAAAAGAATTATAAAAAAATCAAATTTAAATATACTGTCTATTTAAAATTATTTTTATTAAATAAAATATTAATCCAAAAAATCTACATCCTTTATTAAAAAAATTAAATACTTACTTTTAAAGAAAATATTACTTTCTAATTTTATTTAACTAATAAAATTAGTAAAAATTAATACACTCTATTTTATCATAATTAATAATAGAATGTTTATAAGTATTACAGCCTGTTATTTAAATAAAAGTAGAATTAAAAAAATTAATAATAAATATTAATTTCTACGCACTATATAAAAAAATTAAAATAATATAAAAGTTTTAATATATCTTACTATCTTATTAAAATTAATAATATTTAAACAATTCATGTAAATTCTAACAATTTTACATATTCCTAATTAATTTGGATTAGCAAATTTAAATAAATAAAATAAAATATAAAATGCCTTCTAAAATAAGATACATTAAATTATGTTTATAAAAATAATATATTTACTGACTATTTTTTTTAATATTTAATAAATATAAAAATATATATTTAATATAAATAATATTTTGTAAAAAGTTACTTTCTAAATATAAGATAAATACAAAAAAAATATGTATATTTTTTCATACTCCCTTATTTAAAAAATATATTAGATTATATATTAATTAATTAAAAAATTTTCTTACTAACTATTTCATGATTAAAAATTGTTATATATTTAATAGTTAATTACATACTTTTAAAAAAAAATATTTAAAAAATCTTTTTAATTTACTGTCTGTATAAAATACATAATAATTACTTTCTATTTATAATAAAAAAGTATAAATAAAAGAAATAAAATTATGTTTATTATATTACTTTCTTTTTGTAATTAAAAAAGATTGATAAATTTAAACTAAAAATTATATTTTATTTAATATATTACATCCTATTTATTAATATAAATAGAGAAATTAAAATTAAAATTACAAACTATTTTTATTAAGAATCAAATCAATTTATTTTTATTTAATATATTTACTGTCTTTATTAAAAAATTAATAAATTTAAACTAAAAATGTTATTTAATTAAATTTATTACAATCTTATTTCAATATAAAATGGATAAATTAAAACTAAAATGCTATTTAATTTGATTTTACTCTCTATTTATTTATAAATTTTAAATATAAATTCAAATTTATTTAATATTTTACTTTCTATTTTTATTTTAAAAATAATCTTTATTTAAGCAATATATATAATTTTTTTAGTATTACTAACTATTAAAATTAAAAATAATTAAATTTTAGCAATTACTTTCTATTTTATTTAAAAATGTAATATATTTTAAATTAAAAATGCTATTTTATTTAATAATTCATTCTATTATAAATAAAAAATTCAGACTAAAAATGTTATTTTAAATAATATTACATCCTTAATTAAATAAAATTTAAACTAATAATGCTATTTTATTAATAATACACTCTATTTTTTGTTTAAATGTTTAGAAATTTTAACTGAAAATTATATTTATTTAATATACCTATTTTAAATAAAAAAGTAATATAAATATATATTTTTTATTTTATAATTTCTTACTACTATTGTTAATAAAAAATTAATAAATTTCATCTAAAATGCAATTTTTTATTGTATATATTATTATTACAATCTATATATATATAAAAATAATATATTTAAACTAAGTGTTTTATTTTATACAAAATTACTAACTATTGTTTTAAAAAAAAAAAATTAAAAAATCTATTTAATTTTAAATAACTATCTGTTTTTTTCAATAAATTGATTATTTTAAACTTTTATATTAATTTATTTAATATTACAAACTTTTTATATTAAAAAAATTAAAATAAAGATAAAATAATAATGATATCTTATTTAATATTACATTCTTTTTTTAATTTTATTAATAAACTAGAACTAGATAAACTATTATATTAAATTTACTCCCTTTTAATTAAAATAATTTATATTTAAACTATATTTTATTTTATAATATATTATAAACTATTTTTAATAAAAAATTTAAAATAAATTTAAACTTAAAATTCTATTTTATTTCATATTACTGGCTATTTTAAAAGAAAAAAGATTGATAAATTTAGACTTAAAATGTTATTTAATTAATATTACTAACTATTTTTATTAAAAAAATAAATATAAACTAAAAATGTTATTTTAAATAATATTACTGACTATTATGAATAAAAATAAATTAAAAGGCAATTATATTTATATTACTATCTATTTATAATTAAATATAAATAAACTTTATAAAAAATGATATTTATTATAATATTAAGTCCTATATTTAATAAAATTTTATAAATTTTAATTTTAAATTCTATATTTTTTATATATTACAATCTAATTTTTATAAAAATATTTATAAATTTTATATTTAATAAATATTACAAACTATTTTTAATATAAAATTTATCAAAATATTCTATTTTATTTTATATAACATTCTATTTTAAATAATAAATAATAATTTTAACTAAAATTTATTTTTATAATATATTACTGGTTATTTATAATAAAAATTTATAATTTTTTTAAAAAATGTTTTTTTTTTAATATTACATTCTATATTTAATTAATTTTAAATGAAAATAATTATAT